ACGACATTGCACTTATGACAAGATTCACTATAGTCACACATTCGCTGCCACTGCCACATGTACCTGGCATATAGCCCCCATCTGCTAGCTGACATCAAGTCCCAGCATACCTAAACTGGCTTGACGCCTCCTAACTGTCCTTTGACTAATGAGTAGCCATTGGTGACCTGTCCTACACCAGGGAGTGTCTTGGGCTCTGGGAATAGATTAAGGAAAACAAAAGCAGCACTGATACCTCAGCGCTTCCCCTGTAGCCCTGAAAACACAATGAGGAAACGGGGTGGGGGGTGGGGTTAAAAAGCTTAGCGAGCCGGGCAGTGATTAGTGGTGCACACCTTTCCTTTAATCACAGCACTGGGGAGGCAGAGACAGGCGGATCTCTGAGTAGAGTACACTGCAGTACCATCTCTGTATACACAGACCACCATAAAGGCTTTGACCCGAGGCCAAGGGAGCCACAGCAAAGCTGTCAACAACAAAGCTTAACCTGACATGGAGGTGAGGTTCATGTGTTGGTTAGTGTACCCCACTTTCAGTTTAAACGGCTCCTCCTCAGGGAGGCTGTCCCTTTCCTGGGATTCGGACCATTTACAGCTTGTTCTATCACAGTACCTGACTACTTCTAGCACAGCAATACAGCTATCTCAAGTTGGCCGGTTACTGCTTAACTCAGTCATGCCAGCCAGATGGGGGGACTTCTTAAGAACCAGGGGTCACCAGCTGTCTAGCTAACTCTGCCAATGCCCAATATACAGCAGAGTCTTGCACGCCAGAGGCTCACTGTATTAATGGGCATGAAACTTGGCACCTAGTTTTCTAGAGGCCAAGACCCAGTGAAAGCACAAATCTAGCAAGAGTTATGCTCTAATATGTGGTGGTATTGTGTTCCCCAAAATATTCTCCAAATACACTAATACAGGGAAGGAAAGTCATCAAGAGACATTTTAGCTGGGTATGGTTGCACACGTCTTTAATCTAGGCAGAGGCAGGCGGATCTCAGTGAATTGAGGCCAGCCTGGTCTACAGAGTGAGTTCCAGGACAGCCAGGGCTACACAGAGAAACTATCTCAAAAACGAAGTAGGGCCACCCCTGACTACTCTATCCCCATTCTCTGGAGCCACACAGCCACTAAGATCGCTTTTTTTTTTTTTTAAAGATTTATTTATTATTATGTGTACAGTGTTCTGCCTGTATGTGTCCCTGCAGGCAGAAAGAGGGCACCAGATCTCATTACAGACGGTTGTGAGCCACCATGTGGTTGCTGGGAATTGAACTCAGGACCTCTGAAAGAGCAACCAGTGCTCTTAACCTCTGAGCCATCTCTCCAGGCCCAGATTGTATTTTTTGAGAAAGGGTCTCTCTATGTAGACCAGGCTGGCATTGAATTCAGAAGTCCACTCTCAAGGTAGTTACATTTAGAAGGGAAAGATATCAAACATGTAAGCAAGGACCTTACCAGATGTTGATAAAGATAATTCCAGGAAACATGTCAGTGAATTAGAGTAGTTAGGAAGACCTCAGGGAGGAGGAGTGATGGGACATTTGTCCAGCCATTATCTTAGCTGGGCTCTCACCATCACAAGGTCCTCTCCCTTGGTCCTAGGACAGCAATGAAATCACTCACATACCCCTAGAGAAGTCTTTCTATAGCATTCCAGCTTGACTCTGTCAGTACCTCAGTGAAAAGGGGGCTGGGGTTATCTTGGCAGCAGGGCACCTGCTTAGCATGTGCAGTATCCTGGGATTGACCTCCAACACCACACAGCAGGATAATGAATCAAATTGGGGACTATGGCTCATGTCTGTAATCCCAGCACTTTGGGGTTTAGGAAAGAAGGTAGCCTTGAGTTCAAGGCCAGTCTATCTTACGCAAAGAGTACTAAGCCAGCCAGACCAACAAAATAACAAATAATAATAATAATAACAAAACCTTGTTCAAAGAACATTGGGTATAGTAGCGTACACCTGTAATTCCAGCACTTTGGAGGTTGAGGCAAGAGGATCAGGCATTCAAAACTAGCTTTAACCACATACTAAGTTAAAGGCTAGGTTTGGCTATGAGACACTATCTGAAAAACAAGGTGCTCATGGCAAACAGCCAAAGTCCTTAAAAAAAATTCTGCTAAAACTGTAAAGGCACATAAATATTACTCATATATATATATATATATATATGTATATATATATATGAGTAATATAACCATGGCCCGGCAACCAGAGCCATCTTTGTAGACCCCAAACATAACTCATCCTACAACTATCAATAAACACTGAAAGCAAAACAGACCTTTTGCAAAATAGGATTTTTCTGTGGAGCCCTAGCTGTCCTGGAACTTGATCAGGCTGGCCTAGAACAGAGATCTGCTTGCCTCTGCCTCCTGAATGCTGGGCTTAAAGGCATGTGCCTCCAACACAAAACAGTTTTATGGGCTCCTGAGTGCTAGGATTAAAGGTGTTCGTCACCACCACCCAGGTATAAATTAGTTTTTAAGGAAAACGGTAAAAATGATCACAGCATAAAGAACTAAAATAAATAAATAAATAAATAAGCAGGGCACCTTTAGTCCTAGCCCTCAGGAGGCAGAGACAGGAGGAGCTCTGTGAGGCTGAGGCCAGCCTGGTCCACAGAAGGAGTTCCAGGTTAGCCAGGGCTACACAGAGAAACCCTGTCTCAAAAAATAAATAAATAAATAAATAAATAAGTAGATAAATAAAATAAAATAAAACTAAAAATGAACGACATCTGCAGGCAGGAACCAAGAATGGCAATTCATAGTTAGTCTTGGTAGCATGGACACATTCAATCCTTGATCCCATCACTGGAGAGACAGAGGCAGTTGGATTTCTGTGGGTTTGAGGCTGACTTGGTCTACAGTAATTTCCAGTTCAGGACAACAGGTTACACAGTGAGACCTAGAGTGACAATTCATGAAGGCGTCAATTGCTCTCAGCTGCCCTTATTTCAAAGGCGAACTGGATCCCACATAAATAAGACAATGGAAATCAACTCACCCTAGGGCTCCTTCGAAGTGTGTGGACAGCTGGGGCCTGTAGAGATAACATCAACCCATCAATCAACAGTTAAGCTCAGTTTTGACATCTCGCTCCCAGATCCCTCTCTCAGCCCCTCACCTTTACGGTATGAGCCACGATTTTCTTCAAGACGATGGCCTTTCTGGCTGGAGCCGCATGAGGTGTCTGAAAAGGGGGGAGAGGGATTACCAGGAGCTTTACATTTGTTCAAAGCCCTCTAGGTCAGTATCTGAGGAACTCGGAACTCACCTTCGGCCAACTTTCAGGAAAGATGTTCGGGAGATCTGAGCCAGATTTCCGCTGGGACCTCTTCGAAGACTTAGTAAGTGGAGTCCTGGACCCTGGAAAGGGAACCATGGTTAAGGATAAGTAAAACTGAAGCTGGGTGGTGGTGGTGGCGCACGCCTTTAATCCCAGCACTCGGGAGGCAGAGCCAGGCGGATCTCTGTGAGTTCGAGGCCAGCCTGGGCTACCAAGTGAGCTCCAGGAAAGGCGCAAAGCTACACAGAGAAACCCTGTCTCCAAAAACCAAAAAAAAAAAAAAAAAAAAAAAAAAAGGATAAGTAAAACTGTGTTCGAGGAAAAACAAAACAGCAACCAAACGAAACAAGATGCTTGGCGAGTTGGGGAGAGCAGAAGCCCTTTTCCAACTTGCCCTTTGGGGCGTCTTCCACCAGGATCTAAGTTTCGTTCTCCACACCACGCGGCCCTACCGTTCTCCCGCGTCCTCCACTCACCAGACCGCTGGGCGGCCCCTCCGGACCGCGTTCGCCGCTCCGACATGTCTGTGGTCCGGCTCAGTCTCCGCCGCGGTCGTCAAGTTCAGCGCGCGCCAAGCGGGAAGTTCGTGCCTGCAAACGTTCAAATCACCCGCCAGGCGAGGGCGGAAGCGGAAGTGATGCAGAGAAGGCCGACCCTTGGACTACCCCTTTTTCGTCCTAGGTATACGTCTTGCGTGAGCAGGGGCGTGGCCTGGTGGCGCCGTGGCGTCATCAACGTGCGCCGCACCCGGAAGAGACGTGGCAGCGGAGGGATAATCAGAGCGGCCGGAGCCGAAGGGAGCAGAGCGTCAGCTACTGGAGCGGGTCGACGCAGTCTCCGGCCTTCCGCGCTTCCCACCACAGTACGCACCCGCGGCGACCGGTATCGCGGAGGTTCTCTGAGACCCAGACTGGGGTCTGCCGGATGGGGGCGGGGTCACGAGGGGGTGGGGCTTGGGGGGCGGGGCTGGTGGTTTTGGAGTTCTTGATGGCGAGGTCTGGTTAGGCGCTGGGTCTCAATGGGATGGGGGTGTCGCCTGGGGTGCGGTCTGTGCAGGGGGCGTGGCCTTACCCGTGCTGAAGCAGTAGGCTAGAATTTGGGGTTTGGACTGGTGTGAAACGGGTCTGGGGGATTTAAAAAAAGAAACGGACTGGGTCTGTGAGAACAAAGTGGCAGTCACCAGAACCTGGTTTCCTGCTAACGTGGATCCTCTCCCTAGGATCGGCCATGGGACTTTGCAAGTGCCCCAAGAGGAAAGTGACAAACCTGTTTTGCTTCGAACACCGAGTTAACGTCTGCGAGCACTGCCTGGTAGCCAATCACGCCAAGGTGGGGCGTTCAGAACAGTGGTTGATCAGGGCACTGGGTGGGCAGGCAAGATTGGCTCCTTCCAACTCTGTGAGGGGCCCCGCGCTAGATTGTAAGCTCCACAAGGGCAGGGACTTGGTTTATGATGCTCTCTGCTAGGCCTTCAGTAGGTGCTCAGTAAATATCCATTGACTAAACAGACGAAATGGTGAGTCTGATGAGAACGAGGCCGCTGGGCCTTGGCGTGGCGTGTTCCCTGTGGAGCCGGGCCCCAGCTGTGACCTCTCTCTCCCGCTCCAGTGCATCGTGCAGTCCTACTTGCAGTGGCTACAAGACAGTGACTACAACCCCAACTGCCGCCTGTGCAACACACCCCTGGCCAGTCGGGAGACGACCCGTCTTGTATGCTACGGTGAGCCTGGGCACTAGAAGGGGTCAGGGCAGCCTGGAGACTGGTTTGCTTTAGCACCCTGCTAGCAGCACGACCATGAGCCCCTCAGGCCTGGAGGCCAGAGCCTCAGATCCCGATTCCCTTAGGTACTTCCCTGCTTGGTAAGCCTGGGCGAGCCTTCTCCCCTCCTAAGCCTTAGTGTCTTTCCTTCCTGCTCTGCCCGTCTTGGAGAGCTGGAGATAACTATGACCTGTGGCTGTGAGCAGGATCCATTTTTCTAGAACGTTACTGACTCCAAGACTGAACAGAGAGGAAGCCTCCCGTGTTACAGTTAGCTAGAGGGAGTCAGTACTCACAGCCTGGTGTAAAAGCCTCAGCTTAAGTTTTTCAAGGGACCAGTCCAAAAGGGGAAGCTTTACATGTGTGTCTCCGGGAAATTGTGTGTACTCATACACATGCACACTTTGATTAATACTCATGGGAGAGTGCACGGATAATGAATGTATATGAACACATGTCCCATGGAATGCATGATATGAGGGTGATGGTTTTTGAGTATTAGCTGACATGAATGTACAGACATGTCTTTCTTACATGTGTGACTAGTGTAGGTTGAGGGAATGGCTGTTGACTTGTTTGTATATTTATAAGCATATGCATATTTCTGCTTTTGGATATATGCATGTATCTGTGTGTATGTCTGGGAAGCTTTCCTGAAAGTATTCTTGTATGTAGTGGTTTTTTGAGACTGGGATCTCATGGAGCTGACCTTGAACTCTTGATCCTCCTGCCTCCACCTCACAAGTGCTACGTTTAGAAGCAGCCGCCACCACACCCAATCTGAAACTATTGGTGTTTAGCCATTAGCCCAAGGAGTGTGATGAGTTCAGGCCCAGAGAAGACTCTTGGAAGGGTAGATGGCATTTTCTTCCCAGCCACACCTCCTTATGGGCTGGCCAAATAGAATCTACTGTGATTTAGTACAATGGTGTTAACAAGAAGGCCGAATGAAGCCTTGGGGACCTGGGGTGAGGAGGAAAGGGAATGGCCTGGGTATCCGCATATATGTCCATTCATTCCTGCAATGAGCTGGTGGGGTTCGGGGCTGGGGGAGGCATTGCTGGGCCTAGGCTAAGAGCCCAAAGAGTTGTCTTTCTCATGTCTTTCTTATTTCATGGGTCCGAAGATCTCTTCCACTGGGCTTGCATCAATGAACGTGCTGCCCAGCTACCACGAAACACGGCCCCTGCAGGCTACCAGTGCCCCAGCTGCAATGGCCCCATCTTCCCCTCAGCCAACCTAGCTGGCCCCGTGGCTTCAGCACTGAGAGAGAAGTTAGCCACGGTCAACTGGGCCCGGGCAGGACTGGGCCTCCCTCTGGTGAGAGTCCCCCTGTCTGTCTGGCCATCTGTTTGCCCTGACCCTCACTTGAGCCAGATTGGGTGGGTTGGCAGCAGGAGTGGACAGACTACTAACTTAGATTCCTTTCTCGAGATCGATGAGGTGATAAGCCCAGAGCCTGAGCCTCTCAATTCCTCAGACTTTTCTGACTGGTCCAGCTTCAATGGTAAGTGGTGGCCTCCATCTGCCGCCTGGGCCTTGCTTCCCTGCTCCACTGACAGCTCTCTCTCTGTTCACAGCCACCAGCCCCCCTGTGCAAGAGGGGACAGACAACACCTCTGTTGCTCCAGCGTTCTACAGCCAGGCTCCCCGCCCCTCTTCTTCCCCAAACCATCCTGAGCAGCACACAGTTATACACATGGGCAGTACTGAGGCCCTGACACACGGTGAGCTGGGGAATTTTTTTCCCAGTCAGAGAATAGAGAAAATAGTTTGTCTGAGCCTGTTCATGCTGGTGTTTCTATCCCTGTAGCCCCAAGGAAGGTATACGACACACGGGATGATGACCGAACAGCCGGACTCCATGGAGATTGTGATGACGACAAATACCGTCGCCGGCCTGCTCTGGGCTGGCTGGCCCAGCTGCTCAGGTACATGGAGACACACAGGATGGGGTACTGGAGAGAACAGGCCCCATGGTGGACAGTTTGACAACAGTGGGGCTTGGTCTGGGCACTAACAGCGTCCAGTGCCAGGGCCGCAGTGAGGCCCTGGCTGGGAGGCAGGCTCAGCACGTGTGTCCTCTCCAGGGGCTGTGCCCTTTCCTCTTACAGGGGTTTTGGACTTGGCTCTGAGGCCCAGTCCTGCTGTGACGCCACCTGATATGTGTTAGTCCCCCCATGTTTAACAAGTTCAAGCTTCCAGACAGTTTGTGTCCCACTGGTTCAAGCTTCGTAATAACCCCATGTGATGGCCAGTGCACAGATGGAAATTAAGGCCCAAAGAGAGTGACTAAGGCTTCTGTCTGTGCCAGGGAAGGGCCCCAGGGCCTGACCTGACTTTTCCCTCATTCTTCTCAGGAGCAGGGCTGGGTCCCGGAAGCGGCCACTAACTCTGCTCCAGCGGGCAGGGCTCCTGCTCCTCCTAGGGCTGCTGGGCTTCCTGGCGCTCCTTGCCCTCATGTCTCGCCTCGGCCGGGCTGCAGCTGACAGTGACCCCAATCTGGACCCCCTCATGAACCCTCACATCCGTGTAGGTCCTTCCTGAGCCCATGCTGTGTCTGGGCCAGCTGAGGACCCAGAGTCCTAGGGAGAGAAGGTCGGGAGGCCTGAGGGCCTTTCTCCACTCCTCTTCCTCAGTCCTGAGACACTAAGATCCCCTGGACCAAGTCAGTTTGAGGCGGAGGCTACCGGCCAGGTCTGTAGCCCTGTTAGTCAGATTGGTTTTCACTTGCTTGTCCCTGGGTCTCCAGCCTCCTACTTAACCCTCAAAGGAGAAGACAGGTGCAAATAAACAACAGACTTTATTAAAACACCTGAAGCAGCTTTTTCCATCTTCCTTCTCAGCCCTGTCCCCTGTCCCCAGGCCTTAGTGTCTCTCCTCTCGGTAATTGATGGCCAGAAACTCCAGGGACATGCGGTTGAAGAACATGGCTCCATTGAGCACTGGGTGGAGGAGAGAGCCCATCAGCTCAACGTTTTTGTCCCTCCTTGACACTTCTCAGGGTTCAGAACTCCCCTCCGTGTAGCACGCCCCACTCACTCAGGATGGTCAAAGCAAAGCATCGAAGAAACTTGTCATCGGTCATCTCTGCGTAGAGTGACCCCATGGCAGCCCAGCAGATACTGATCACCTGGGAGAACTGGGAGACGGGTCCAGGAGAGTGACCCCTGACACAGAAGACACTTCGTCAGCCCCCAGCTTTCCCCGCCAGCCCTGAGCCCCCCCTCCCCCCAGACCTACTGTCAGGACGACTGTGTAATGGAAGCTCATTCGCTCATAGTTGTGGGTGACACAGAAGTTGTGAACGTCACTAGCAAAGACCCCCATGTGTAGGAAGAAGAGCATGAGTGCAGCTACAGTGAGCATCATGCCCGGAGGGAAGAATAACACAGCTATCCGGTCCCGCCACCTCATCCCGCTCACAGCCTGGACTCAAGGCAGGCCCAGGCACTGGAGCAAGTGGTCACTGTCCAGGGGCAGCAAAATCCTGCCATTCTAGGGTATTCCAAAGTGAGGAAGGCACTGGAGAGGGCAGGGTTCTAGAACATAGCCTGATTCCAGCACATAGAAGGATGTGTCTGAGTACCAGGCTGTTCCATTGTGGAGTGGTAGGCGAAATGAGCTGAACAGCAGGAGCCTGTGGAATAAGGAAGAGACACCATTCCATCCCCCATACTTCCTGGGCAGCTCTACATTCCCACAGGACACATTGTAGAGGGACTAGGCAAGGGCTCAGAAAGGTGGATGAGCATGTCCCAGCTCTACAGCAAGGTTTTTTGGGGTTTTGTTTATCTTTTCATCACAGGATTTCTTTGTATAGCCTTGGCTGTCCTGGATTTTGCTCTGTAGACCAAGCTGGCCTCAGAGATCCATTTGCCTGTACCTCCTAAGTACTGTGTTTAAAGGTGTGAGCCACTATGCCAAGTTAGTCCACAGCAGGTTTTAGGCAGGTGAGTGGTTAGAGCCTACATGAGTAGCTGAAGGCCTTCCCAATGGAGGGAAGGCTTTGGCCTCATCCCAGGCTCTCTAAACTGGAACACTGGAATTCTTGTCCCTTGTCACCACAGACTTCAATGAGCAGAGATGGGAAATCAATCTAAACTACCTTTTCTTCAGAGAATATTTTGGATGACTACAGACAGATCCCCTACAAATCTGCCTTCCCCCTCCCAGTTCTGGCTACCAGATTTCATAGGGAACCAGAAACAGCAAAATGTAGTTGTCCCTCTGACTGGGCGGTCAGCCTTGTGTGTTCCTGTGTTGGCACTGCTCTTCGTGTCCCTCCCTGTCTCTGTACAGTGCTGGTTTGCCTACTCCCAAGGCTGTGTCCTTTTACAGCATTAAGTACAAGTAAGCTTCTAAAGATTTTATTACATTTAGTTAATACTAATTAACTTAAAGTTGGTTTTGTTTGTTTGAGACAAGGTCTCACTAGGCAGCCCTGGTTCACCCTGGAACCCACTGTATAGACCAGGCTGGCTGATTGGATCAAAGGTGTGTGCCACTATTGCCCAGCCTCGTTTATTTTAGTGTGTGTGGTAGGTAGAGTGAGAGTGTTCACATGCCACTGTGCATCTGTGAAGATCCGAGGACAACTTCCCGGAATCCAGTCTTGACTGATGAGCCATCTCTCTAGCCCTTTTTGTTGTTTATTCTGGTTTTTGACAGTTTTCCTGTAGCCTAGGTTGGCCTCAAACTTATTATAAGGATGATCTTGACCCCCTCCTAATCCTTTGCTCATATATTCTGGGACTCCAGGTAGTTAACACACCACCATGCCTGTTTTTCTTCATTTAATTTTGTTTTTGTTTCTTGAGACAGGGTTTCTCTGTGTAGTTTTGTGCCTTTCCTGGAACTCTCTCTGTAGCCCAGGCTGGCTTCGAACTCACAGAGATCCGCCTGCCTCTGCCTCCCGATTAAAGGCATGCGCCACCACCGCCCGGCTAAATTTTTTTATTTTAATTTTTTTCTGTATTTATGAGCATTTTGCCTGCATATACATGTGTTCCTGGCTCCCTGTGGAGGCCAAAAGAGGGCATTGCATCCCCCAAGACTAGAGTTACAGACAGTTGTGAGCCTAGGAACATGAGTCATCAGGAAGAGCAGTGAGTGCTTTTAGTTGCTAAGTCATCTCTCCAGCTCAAATTCATTTTCTTAAATTCTAGCTTCATAGGCTGAAATCTTCATGTGTACAGTTTCTAAATAGCCCAGTGAATAAGAAATCAAGAAACTTTGGTCCAAGACCAAATGAATAAATAAATGCTTTAGGTTTTATGGGTCATTTAGTCTGTGACAAAAGCAGCTATAAATGATAAATCAAAATATGGGTGCTGGACATGGCAGCACACGCCTTTAGTACCAGATTTCTGTGAGTTCCAGGCCAGCCTGGTCTACATAGTGAGTTCCAGGTCATCCAAGGTTACAAAGGGAGACCCTGTCTCAAAAAAGAAAAGAAAGAGAAAAAGAAGACGGTGAAGATTATGTATTGCACTTGTAGTTTGTCCCCCAGCATTCGTGTTGGGCAGCTCCACAAGCTGTGACTACAACTCCAAGGTATCCAAGCCCTCTTCTGACCTCCTCAAGCACCTGCATGCACATATTTAAAGACTATAGATATTGAAGCTGGGACAGATGTCACGTAAATTTTAATACCATTTATAATTTTTGTTTGTTTTTTTTGAGGCAGGGTTTCTCTGTGTAGCTCTGGTTGCCTGGGACTCGATCTTAGGTAGACCTCAAACTGGCCTCAAACTCAGAAATCTACCTGTCCTTGCCTCCCTCCTGCTGGAATTAAGGGCGTGTGCCACCACCACTGGCTTTTTGTTTGTTTGGTTGGTTTTTTTTCGAGACTGGGTTTCTCTGCGTAGTTTTGGTGCCTGTCTGGGATCTCGCTCTGTCCATCAGGCTGGCCTCGAACTCACAGAGATCCGCCGATCCGCCTGTCTCTGCCTCGCATGCGCCACCGCCGCCCGGTATGTTCCGTAATTTTAATGCCCATTCATTCAGTCAATCTAGGCACATAATACATGAGTCTTTCCTGTGGGGATGCAGGATTGCGACGCTACGACTCGCCCACCTTATAGCATTTAACACAGTCACAGGAACCAGCTTGCCGAAACTTCGCAAGGCGGAACTTTAGTCTCACATGTCCTAGAGCTGCAGAGGAACGTTCCACCTAAAGGACCGTCTGGTTTCAACAACTTGATGGCTCCCGGAAGTGCTTCCTTTCCCCTCCCCAGCCTCACCCCCTTGTGTTGCGGTTGGAGCTATGGCGGCGGCGGCAGCTGTGGGGCCCGGGCCCGGGGACTCCCCAGAAGGACCCGAGGCGGACGCTCCGGAGCGTCGGCGGAAGGCTCACGGGATGCTGAAGCTTTACTACGGCCTGTCGGAAGGGGAGGCGGCGGGACACTCCGCGGGGCCTGACCCTCTAGACCCGACAGATCTCAATGGGGCGCACTTCGACCCGGAAGTTTATCTGGACAAGGTGTGTGTGCGAAGTGGGGCGGGTCCAGACCCCCAAAATGCTGGACCCTAGATCATGCCCTGGATTTTGTTGATGTAGGGAGCGAGACATCGTGAGTGGAGGCTAGCCCATTCCGAGCAATAGGGGCAGATCTGGAGGCTAAGCAAGCCTGGGCCATTTAGGACTGACCTGAGGGGATACGGGGTCCGTGATCTCGATGCTGACGTTCTGATAGGCCCTTGGGGAGCGGGCGTGGCCATGTCCTGACAGGCGCAAGGCTGAGCCTGGGTTGAGTTTAAGCTGAGCCTGAAGACTTTGAAAGCTGACAAATCCCAAATCCGGTCTAATCTAGTAACGTAGATTAGTATGTCACTTATAGATTCCATATCTGGAATTCCTGATAAGGGTGGAATCACGGTTGTTATTGCACGGAAGGCCAGCTAACCTAAGGCAAGGCAGGGGGACATGAGTGACCCTAACTGAATGCTACTACCTGCTTCTCTAGCTGCGTAGAGAGTGTCCTCTGGCCCAGCTGATGGACAGTGAGACGGACATGGTGCGGCAGATCCGGGCTCTAGACAGCGACATGCAGACCCTGGTCTATGAGAACTACAACAAGTTCATCTCAGCTACAGGTGATCCCACTGGGACACACTCCTCAGAGCCTTACATCTCCCCCTGTGCTGGGAAAAACAGGGATTAAAGGAAAGAGAGCCCGATTATAATTCTGTCCCACATTAATCCACTGTCACCTCTGTCCTGGTCTTTGTGGTCAGACTCTTCTGAAGTGACAGTTACTATGGGAGGGTTGTCCTAACGACCAAAGGGAGGGAGAAAGGATAAAATGATGTGAGTTTCCCTGAAATATGTAGGAAGCACTAAGAAGTTTCAGTAAGCTTTAGTTTTTGTCTTATTTTTTTACAGTTATTTATTTTGTGTGTGTGTGTGTGTGTGTGTGTGTGTGTGTGTTCATGCATGCGTGTCTGCCACAACATTTGTGTAGAGGTCAGAAGACAAGTTGTGGGAGTCAGTTCTCTCCTTCCACCGTGTGGGTCCCATGGATTGAACTCAGGTCGTCAGGCTTGGTGACAGGCACATTACCTGCTACTGAGCCATCTCACAGGCAGTTCAGTTTGTTTAATTTTATGAGCTGTAACTTTTGTTTCTGGTCAGTCTGCCTTGAGGGTGGACTTGTCACTCCCTCCCTTTCTTTCTCCGTTCTCATTCCTAAGATTTAATAGTAGTAGTGTTTAATTATGTGTATGTGTGTGGGTGTGTACATATGAGGACAGGTGTCCTTGGAGGCCAGAGACCAGAGGTGTTGGATTCCCTGGAGCTGGGGTTACCGTCACCTGTGAGCTGACTGACATGGGTGCTCAGTACTGAACTCAGGCCTGGCATGGTCCTCTATAAGAGCAGCATCCACTCTCCACCACTGAACTGTCTCTCCAGCCCTAGGACTAGACAGTGTAGGTCTCATCACAGCACTTTCTGTCTTACTTTCAGGAGATACACTTGAGGTTTGTGTAATAACTTTAAAGCAGTTGTTCCGGAGGCAGACCGTAGAGAATGCTCACATCTGTGGGGTTGTGTCCCCATAAGTAGTCCTGCTCTCCTAGTGTCACAGTGCCCTCAGTGAGTAGGTGCTTGTCTGTTAATGCTAACCTCAAGATGAAAAGAGAGAGTGATTTCTGTGCTGAGTAATTTTCCATAGGAATTTTGCTAGTATTTTCTCATTTGTTGGAATATGTATAATGTTTGACATTTATCTGTTGCTTAATAGAGATGGCTTGAGTTTTTTGTTTTTTTTTTTTTACTTTTTTCTAAGGAAGGAAAAAAATCATAAAGTAAGTGTTAGGAGAGCTGAGATTGTTAATCTGCAAAGATTAGGCTTGGCAAGATTACAGAGTTTTATGCTGGCACTGGCTACAGATGCCTATAATCCCAGCACTCCAGAAGCTGAGAGAGGAAGGTTGTCATGAATTTGAGGCCAGACTAAGCTATATAGCAATAGATTTGGTGTTGGGGATTTAGCTCAGTGGTAGAGCGCTTGCCTAGCAAGCACAGGGCCCTGGGTTCGGTCCTTAGCTCTGGGAAAAAACACAACAAAACAAACAAACAAACAAACAAACAAAAAGCCTGAGCAATAGATTTGAAAAAACAGAATGTGAGGCCTTCCTGGTCTATCTCTGGCTATGAGGACAGGCAGAGCTGTTACACAGAGAAACCCTGTCTCTTAAAAAAAAAAAAAGGAAAGAAAGAAAGAAAGAAAGAAAAAGAAACCAGAAGAGTGAGTCAGCAGACATGGAGATAGGTCAGTTGAGATTATCCTGTGTGAAGGATAGAAAGTAAAAAACAAAACAAAACAAAAAACAGAGGGCATAATGGAACACATGCATAATTCCAACAATGAAAAGGTAGAGACAGGAAGTTTAAGGCCAGCCTGGGCTTGAAGAGACCCTGTCTCAAAACCACAACAACACTCTCAATTAATAGATTGTGTGTAGATGTGTACCAGAATATGGTCTGGGGACATACCTCAACAACAAAATGCTTGCCCAACTTGCAGAACATCCTGGATTTGGCCCCTGCTCTTGCTGTTTCAGGTACCCAGTAGGGATGGCTCAGCAGGTTGAGATGCTTATGGCCATGCCTGACAACCTGAGTTCAGTTATGGACCCATGTGGTAGAGCAAGAGATCCACCTCCTTTAGATTGTCCTCGACTTCCACGTGAGTAATGTGGAGTTCATAGGTGCTCACATGCACACCATACCCCTCCCAACAAATAATCATGCAAATGAAAAATAAGCTCATGTAAAGATAGACTACCTCATTATTGATTAAGGAGGTGTGACTTCTCTGACACCCACTGGTATTGCCATAACTACATAAATAACATGTTGGTTGGCATGTGGAGGATACAGAAGACTGATAAACCAGCAGTGGAGATACACAGCTATACCTCCACTGCAGAAAAGCTTGGCCAGTCCTCAAAAAGCCAAATAGAATTATTACGAGACCAGTAATTCCACTCCTAGGAAGGGATATGTATGTATGTATATAAAAATGAGCAGAGCCTATCATCCCTGCACTTTGGAGGCTGAGGCAGGGGGATTGCTGAAGATTCAAGGCTAGCTTAGCATACATATCAAACCCCTGCCTAAAGAAACAGTCAATGACAAAAGCCCAGGTGAGGGGCCTGGGAATGGCCCAGTGAGCAGAGTGCTCGTTGGGCAAGCTTGAGGACCTGAGTGCAGAGTCTCTGCGACTGTGTAAAAATCAAAAGCACGCCTTTAACCCCGCCACTTCTAGAGCAGAGGCAGAAGATCTCTGTGACTTTGAGACCAGCGTGGTCTATATAGTGAGTTCTGGACCAGCCAGGGCTACATAGTGAGACCTTGTCTCAAAGAACAAACAAAACGTGTGGCAGTGTACATCTGTAACCCCAGACTGTGTGGAACAGGGTGTGTCCCTGGGGCTTGCTGGATAATCAGCCAGCTGAGCTAAAAGGGCGAGGCCCAGGTCAGTGAGAAACCCTGTCTCTAAGAACGATGCTAGGGATGGTGGGGAGGTGGCTCGGTAGTGAAACATGCTCACCATTACACCATGGAACCAATACTGAAACATGCTGGTTCTCTATCAAAGGACTGCAGTTCAGATCCCAGTCAGCTCACAGATGCTTGTACCTCCAGCTTACAGGAGTCTTTCTACCCGTCTGGCCTCTGTGGCTGCTGGCACACTTAGGTGCACACCAACACACACCAACACACACACACACACAAGATAGGAAATGTTTGAAGAAAACACTCATCATCAACCTCTGGCCTTCACATGTATATGCAAGGGTGAGCACACCCACACAGATGTGCATGCATCCATATGCTACACATGCATATGAATGTGCTCATGTGTGTACACACACAAATTAAAAAAAAACTGAAAACATGTTTGCATGAACTACATTCACAACTTTTGTAGCCAAAAAGTAGAACCAATACAAATAGCTATCACCAGTGTGAGTGGATAAATGAATGATATAGCCCAACAACAGTGTTCTTCAGCCATAAAAAGATGAGACATACTGATTTATGTTATATGATATAGATAAATCTCAAATATATGTTAAGCAAAAGAAGTCAGATAGGATTGGGTGTGTCGAACACCTTTAATCCCAGCACTCAGGAGGCAGAGGCAGGCGGAACTCTGAGTTCTGAGCTAGCTAAAGCTACTTAGTGAGATGCTTTTTCAAAAGAGGAAAAAAAGAAGTCAGACGAGAAAGGCCATGCATTGATTTTCTTATGTTAAATAAACAGAATAGGTAATTCTGTGAAAATAGAAAATAGATTGATGCCTACCAGAGGGTGTGGCAAGATGTGGGGAAAACTGCCAAGAGAAACAGTAGCTCTTGGGTGTTCATTAATTAGACAGTGGCAGTGTCTTAGTTAGGGTTTTATGCTATGAAGAGACACCATGACCACGGCAACTGTTATAAAGGAAAACAGTTTCAGAGGTTTAGTACATTATCGTCATGGCGGGAAACATGGTGGCATGCAGGCAGACATGGTTCTGGAGAAGGGGCTGAGAGTTCTGTCTTGATCCGCAGGCAGCAGAAGGAGACTGTGTCACACTGGGTGTAGCTTGAACCTATTAGACCTCGAAGCCCATCCCCACAGTGACACACTTCCTCCAACAAGGCCACACCTCCTAACAGTGCTACTCCCTATGGGCCAAGCATTCAAACACGAGTCTGTGAGGGGCCATACCTATTCAAACCACAAGTATTGATTGTAAAATCTTGTGACTGCTAAATGTATTAAAAGCACTGAATTTTATGGTTACCAGTTATTTCCTAGGTAAGAAATAAAAAGCATACAAACAAAAAAGCAACTGGTTTAGGTTTTCTTTTTTTTTTTTTTTAATATATTTTATTTTATTCTTTTATGTGTATTTGTGGTTTTGCCACGAGTGTCGGTGTCCCCTGAAACTGGAATTACAGACAGGTGTGAGCTGCCATGTGGGTGCTGGGAATTGAACTCAAGTCCTCTGGAAGAAGTCAGCCCTCTTAACCCCTGAGCCATCTCTCCAGGTCCCCCCCCCCCTTTATTTTTTGGTTTTTCCAGACAGGGTTTCTCTGCGTAGCTTTGCGCCTTTCCTGGAACTCACTTGGTAGCTCAGGCTGGCCTCAGACTCACAGAGATCCGCCGCCTCTGCCTCCTGAGTGCTGGGATTAAAGGTGTGCGCCACCACCGCCCGGCGGTTTAGGTTTTCTTAATCAGATTTTCATTCAAAAAATGATAGGTTTCATTATCTTTCTTCATGCATATGTGTTATTATACTGTGTTTTAATTGGATTTGCCAACTTATAGCCCAGACATGGAGTTTGATTATGTGATAATGCATTTATCTTTTTTTTCTTCTTTTTTTAGATAGGGTCTTACTATGTAGCCCTGACTTGGAATTCACTCCTCGAACTCACAGAGATCCACCTGCCTCTGCCTCTTGAGTGCTGCATTAAAGGTGTGAGCCACCACCTCTAGCTAATTATGCATCTATCCATACCAAACCTGGAAAGGCTTCAGTATTATACCAAGAAAAACTTCCTGTCCCTACCGCAGGCAGACAAAGAAGTCTGCCTTTTTAAAAAATGAATAAGTTAACAAAGAGATGCATTCCATTATTGTATTTTCATTCATCTTTAGTCTTTGGTTTTGTCCATCCCCCACTGGTTTCTCCATCTTCCCTGGACCCTCCTGCTTCCCCTTTGTGCCCTCAAATAGTCTTCCTTTCTGCTTTCAGGTCACATCTGTTCCATCATCCCCTCTCCTCCAGCCCACTCCACATCTTAGACCTCTTCATATCCTCTCGTGGTCTCTGTACTTTCCTGACCATACACCAGCCCGCCTCCAAACTGAAGTGTGGACACAAAGCTTTGCTCGTTTGCTGTGCTGTTGTTTTGGGGTCTTGGGGATTGAACTTGGGCCCTCATGCTTGCTAGGCAAGCACCTAACTACTGAGCTACAGCCCCAGCCCACAAAAAAAAAATCTTTGACAGTAATTCCTCTGAAAAATCAATGGGCTTCCAAGCCAGCCAGGGCTACACAGTGAGACCCTGTCTCACAAACAAAACAAAAAACAAAAACTTAACAGGCCTGTGGAATACACTCATAATATGGATGCTACCAAGGGAACACATCCACAGAGTGAGGAGCCAGGCCGGCAAGGAGCATGGCAGTGCCTGGGATGTACCGAGGCGGAAGAGTTGTCTAGCATGGGTGAGGAGGCCCCCGTGGTCGAGATCCAGCCTTGCCAAAGGAGTCTTTCTTACCAAACGCTGTGGACACTTGGTGTTTGTTTGGACGTGGGGCAGCTTTATTTCCAGTCTGAAGGTTTCCAGGACTGTGAAGTCAGCAGCAATGATGGAATCTCAGTATCTCTTTTTCTTTCTTTTCTTTTCTTTTTTCTTCCTTTCTTTTTTTGTCTTTTCAGACAAGGTTTCTCTGACTTAACTGGAACTTGCTTTGTAGACCAGGCTGGCCTTGAATTCACAGAGTTCCACCTGCCTCTGCCTCCCCAGTGCTGAGACTAAAGGTGTGCGCCGCCACCACCACCGACCGACTGGCTGTGTTTGGGTGGTGGTGGTGGTGGTGGTTTTTTTTGAGACAGTGTCTTCCTATGTAGTCCTGACTAGCTTGGGCCTTTAACTGGTACCAATGTTTTACAGGAACTTCTCAGGCTGACCCTGTGGGGCTGGGTTGTCTTAAGACAGCCCCTCCCCCAGCTCTGCCGCTCAGGTGTAACTTACATCTTGTGTCTTTATTTTATAATCACCTTCCTTGCTGTGGAACCATAAACTCAATCAGAATGGTAAGGACTAAGGATGTGGCACAGTGGCAGAGCACTAGCCTGGCATGTGAGAGGCCCTGTGTGTCTGGGAAGGGGACAGTGTGAATGCTTTTGCTTCATGGATTGTGCAACTCATGTAACGAGTTCACTATTGGTGACCAACTTCTTTGTGAAAAAATATTTCAAATCCCTTAATTGCATTGTGAGTGTTAGCTTTGTAGGTTTTTGGTTTTGTTCTTTGTTTTGGTTATTTAAAAAAATAATTTGTGTGTGTGTTTGTGTGTGTATGTGCCTGAGTGTATGTATGTCCATGTACTGCATGCGTGTAGTACCTGCAGAGGCCAGAAGAGGCACCAGATCCTTGGAATTAGAGTTACAGCTGGTTGTGAGCTGCCATGTGGGTGCTGGGAATTAAAGCAGGTTCTTTGTAGGAGTCATGGGTGCTCTTACCTGCTGAGCCGTCTCCCAGGCCCCGTGGTCCTTCATGTTTAAAATCAAAAGTAGGTGTGAAGGCCAGCAATAGTGGCACACGCCTTTAACTCCCGGACTTTGGGAAGCAGATGCAGGAGGATCTCAGTGAGTTCAAGGCCTGGTCTACATAGTGAGTTCCAGGTCAGAACTACATAAGTGAGGCCCTGTCTCCAAAAAAACAAAAACAAAAACAAAACAAAAAAATAGGTGTTAAACTGCATGTGGTGCTTGAATGTAATTCTAGCACTTGGAGAGCAAACACAGGCAGTTCCTCTCTGTCCTTCTGGACCTATACATTTGAGCCATCTTGCACTCTGTTTCACTCAAGATAATGCCCCAATTCCTAACAGTTGAACATTTACCTCCTGAAGAGGCCAAGTTGGATGCCAAAATTCTGGTGCAATTATGGTAACTTCTGCACCTGTGTCTACCAGACCAGACAACAAAACACCACTTATTTTTATTGTTAATTTTGGTCTTTGTTCATTAATAGAAGTTTGCCAGAAAATTTTCTTTATGTTTTTTCCTGAATTTTCTATTCTCTCTGTTTCATCATCCTGACCAGCATGATTTATTCCAATAGACATTTGGTTATTTAGTTGCTCTGAGTAGGGGTTTCCTCTACCACTGCAGGAAAGGTTTGAACTGGATTTGCTATGGGGGCCTGTCTGAGGCCCCTCTGGGAGTTTCCCAAAGCCTGAGGCAAAGGATTACCTTGCCTGTCCCTTGTTGATCTACATTCATTGGTGCAGTGTTTTCCCTTACCACAGTACATTGGAGCCTTTCCTGGTCTACATAGCAAGTTGCAGGCCAGCCAGGGCTACATAGGGAGACCGTGTTTGAAAAAGCCAGAATAGAAATAGATGTTAAGCTTGGGTTAGGGGTGTGGATAGAGTGGGTGGTGGGGTACAGAGAGCAGGGGAGCAGGGCTTGCGGCTGAGGTTTTAGATAGGGCAGTGCCTGGTGACGGTCAAGAGACCTGGACCAGAGGAGACAGAGGTAAGAAAAGGTGGAATAGCTGGGCAGTGGTGGCACACACCTTTAGTCCCAGCACTCGGAGGCAGAGCTAGGCAGATCTCTGGAGTTCGAGGCCAGCCCGGTCTACAGAGCGAGATCCAGGACAGGCTCCAAAACTACACAGAGAAACCCTGTCTCAAAAAATAAAAAATAAAATGGGATTTGAAGAGAGGAGACATAAAGCATTAAGGGGCCAGGCCCTGAGGCATTTGGAAGGAAAAACAGCCTCCTTATACAGATTTCAGTCTGGGTGAAAGAGAGAAAGGGAAAAGGAGAGGAACTTTAGAGAAGATACACCGTGCTCTACAAGTTCAGTGAAAATCTGGGCCATTTGGGAAGGAGGTCTGAGTGGGCAAGTTTATTGCCTGCCCTCTGTGTGCAGAGGGCATTCCAGGGGTGAGCAGACAGGTGGTCCCTGCCTTTGCAGAGCTTTTTGTTGTTTTTGTTTTGTTTTTCAAGACAGGGTTTCTCTGTGTAGCCCTGGCTGTCCTAGAACTCACTCTGTAGACCAGGCTAGCCTGAAAATCACAGAGGTCCTCCTGCCTCTGCTTCCCAAGTGCTGGGATTAAAAGTGTGCTCATAGCTTATGTTCTGTGGAATCAAAAGAAGTTCTGGCCAGTACCAAGTGTCTCTGGTTGTTGGGATCTGCATACCGTCTGATGGGAGAGATTGGTACCAGAATGCTGTTCCTGAGTTACTTCTAAGGGTCTTCAAAGAGTAATTCTGTGCATCCTTCGTCCTGAGAGGATCAAGACAGAGAAGGTGAAATAGAAGTTTATTCTCCATTTGCCTAGCCGGGGTGGCCGCTGGTCTTCCACATTTGGAGTCCTAGTCAGTATGAAAGGACAAAAATAGGGAGCCAAGAGGAACATGCAGCAGCCTCCACCAGCCTAAGTAGTGCTGGAGCCCTGAGGTGTTCACATGCAGCTTCAGGTCTGGTGGGTACAGATTGGGGCCAGGGACCAGTTCCCTTCCAGAACAAAATGAGACAAAAAGGGAAAATGGAGAGCAAGTTTGGACAAAGTAGAGTCAGTCAGGATAGTGACTGGGTGCTTATTTATTTATTTATTTATTTATTTATTTATTTATTTATTTTTAAAACACTTTCCCTCACCCTCTTCCCTTTGCACCAGGGATGGGGTGAGCAGAGCTTGTTGCACCATCCCATTAACCCCCTTGCCCACACATGCAGTGGCCAAGACCCAAGCCGTTTCAGGCAGACCACTGGTATCAGTGAGAGCTGCACCTCTCTGCCTTGGTCATTTCCGTTTCGCTGTCGGCGCTCGCCTTTCTAGACACGATTCGGAAAATGAAGAATGATTTCCGGAAGATGGAAGACGAGATGGACCGGCTGGCTACCAACATGGCAGTGATCACCAACTTCAGTGCGCGCATCAGCGCCACGCTGCAGGACCGACACGAGCGCATCACCAAGCTAGCAGGTGGGCTCTGTACTGGCCAGGCCCTGCAGCCAGCCACCTGAGCTCTGCAGCTCACATGCCTTTCCTGTCCCCTAGGGGTGCATGCTCTGCTGCGGAAGCTGCAGTTCCTTTTCGAGCTGCCTTCGCGCCTCACCAAGTGTGTGGAGCTGGGTGCCTATGGGCAGGCAGTGCGCTACCAGGGTCGCGCCAGGGCCGTGCTGCAACAGTACCAGCACTTGCCCTCCTTCCGGGCCATCCAGGATGACTGCCAGGTCATCACAGCCCGCTTGGCCCAGCAGCTGCGGCAGCGCTTCAGGTGCGGTTTCCGGGCCTGGTTCTTGCCCTCCAGTCCCGTCAAGAGTGCCCCCACATTTTGTCTCCCCTGCACCCCGCCCTCTGTCTTTACTGCATCTCCGTCCCCACAGGGAAGGTTGCTCGGGTGCCCCAGAGCAGGCTGAGTGTGTGGAGCTGCTGCTGGCCCTGGGTGAGCCGGCCGAGGAGCTGTGTGAGGAGTTCCTGGCACATGCCCGGGGCCGGCTGGAGGAAGAACTGAGCAGCCTGGAGACTGAGCTGGGGCCCTCCCCACCAGCGCCCGACGTGTTAGAGTTCACCGACCGTGGTGGCAGTGGCTTCGTGGGTGGCCTCTGCCAGGTGGCAGCAGCCTACCAGGAGCTGTTTGCCGCTCAGGGCCCCACTGGTGCAGAGAAGCTGGCAGCCTTCGCGCGGGAGCTGGGCGGCCGCTATTTTGTCCTGGTGGAGCGGCGGCTGGCACAGGAGCAGGGCGGCAGTGATAACTCACTGCTGGTACGGGCCTTAGATCGCTTCCACCGGCGCCTGCTGGCACCCGGGGCCCTGTTAGCCGCTGCTGGGCTTTCCGAGTCAGCCACGGAGATTGTGGAGCGAGTGGCCCGAGAGCGTCTGAGCCACCATCTGCAGGGTTTGAGGGCTGCCTTCCTGAGCTGCCTGACGGATGTGCGCCAGGCCCTGGCGGCACCTCGCCTGGCTGGGAAGGAGGGCCCCAGCCTGGCTGAGTTGCTGGCCAATGTGGCCAGCTCCATTCTGAGCCACATCAAGGCCTCTCTGGCCTCTGTGCATCTTTTTACCGCCAAGGAGGTGTCCTTCTCCAACAAGCCCTACTTCCGGGTACGTCTGTCTTTTGTCTTTTGGTTGTTCATTCTGCCGACCGGCCCTCTGTCACCCTTTTACTAGTGCTTGGGGAACTGAGGACAAGTCACCAGCCCCCACACAATCCTTTCCCAGGCGCTCTGGATATGGATTTACGTCCTCAGGAGGCAGTCTGGAGGAGAAAAGGCTATGCAGCTGGGCTAAAGATAGAAGGGCACCAGGGACCTTCCCCCACCCCCCACCCCCCGCCAGCCCCCCCACCCTCAAGGCAGAGAGGCAGGATGAGGCTGTCCTTTGGAGGAGGAGCCCCATGCTCTGGCCTTGCTGACCCTCTCCTGCCTAGGAGAGGGGACTGGTTGTGGATCTGGACCTCCTTTCACAGGGCGAGTTCTGCAGCCAGGGAGTCCGTGAGGGCCTCATCGTGGGCTTCATCCGCTCAATGTGCCAGACAGCCCAGAGCTTCTGTGACAGCCCCGGAGAAAAGGGAGGCGCCTCACCCCCTGCCCTGCTGCTGCTGCTGTCGCGCCTCTGCCTGGATTACGAGACGGCCACCATCTCCTACATCCTCACGCTCACGGATGAGCAGTTTCTGGTGCAGGTGAAGTGTCTCAGGAGGGAAAGGGAGCTAATGCTGGGAACACAGGAGGCTGGATGTCTTCTTGTTGCCAGAACCAGACTGGCCGTCTACACTCCTCCCAGCCTCCATCTTTCCCAAGATTTGCTCACTTCCAAACTGGCAGTGGCTTCTGATCTGAGCCTAGTACCTACAACCATTGTCCTCTGCTTTCCTGGCTTAGGACCAGTCTCCAGTCACACCTGTGAGCACACTGTGTGCGGAGGCCAGAGAGACGGCCCGGCGACTGCTGACCCACTATGTGAAGGTGCAGGGCCTAGTCATATCCCAGATGCTACGCAAGAGTGTGGAGACGCGGGACTGGCTCAGTACCCTGGAGCCCCGGAACGTGCGTGCCGTCATGAAGCGCGTGGTAGAGGACACCACAGCTATCGATGTACAGGTGCTGCGTTAGGCCAGCTGGTGGAGCCCTGATGCATGCTGGGGCCCTGGATAACAGCTCTTCAGGACCAAGCAAAAGGGGCCTAACTGTACCGATAACTGTGCCACTAGATCCCCCATTCCATCCTCTGGGAATGTGGAGGCCCAGAGTCACCCAGAAAGTTGGAGCAGGGGTGGGCTGAAAATTCGGTTTCAAACTCATTCTTGCCCTGCCTTTGTTCCACTCCCTTGATCGTATGAGTGGTGACCGTACCTATGGTTCTCCGACTAGTAAGTAGGTAAGGGAATTTCTGTTCCTAGTGTGCCACGCTCCCCTTGCAGCACCTCTTTTCACCACCAGGTGGGGCTCCTGTATGAAGAGGGTGTCCGCAAAGCCCAGAGCAGCGATTCCAGCAAAAGGACCTTCTCTGTGTACAGCAGCTCTCGGCAGCAGGGCCGCTACGCGCCTAGCTACACACCCAGGTCAGGCTGGGCGGGAACCTCCCTGAGACAGACAAAAGGGAGGGTGTGTGAAGTGGGCTCTGACTTCTCTCCCCTCCACCTTCCAGTGCTCCGATGGACACAAACCTCTTGAGCAATATTCAGAAGCTGTTCTCTGAACGCATCGATGTGTTCAGCCCTGTGGAATTCAACAAGGTCTGAAGCACCTTCTCGCCTAGATCCCATAACCATCTAGGGAGCCTGAGGACCCCATCTAAGCTTGACTGGCACTCTGACCATCCAGTCTCTGTCTCTAGGGCATCTAGGTAGTTCAGAGAAAAGCTACCTTGTCGCTCCAGCCCGGATGTGACTCTTGCTGTTTGTCATTAAATTCAGTAGATTTCTGTCCCTCTGTAGAACTCAGGGTTCAAAGGTTGAGGTGAAATTCTGCTCACTCAGAGACGCTGAATAGCAAGTAGCTAACCTCCTCTCCTAGCTCGTGTCTCTCCATAAAACCAGCGTCGTCCTGCTCAGCACCCACTGAGGAAGCCTAGCTACACATGGTTCCGTGCCCTACCACTTCCTGTCAGGTAGATGCTGACTCAGCCTCCTGACCCCAGGTTAATTTTATTTAATCAAACAAATGTAACACATCTTTGCATCATTAAATATTCCACAGCATAGGCAAATGTAACACATCTTAAATTAATATTCTGCAACAGACTTCAAGTATTCTTTGCTCTCACTCTTGTCTCCAAAACAGTCCTGAGTCTTCAGGGGTTCTCAGTCACTTACTGATGTCTGCCTCACTGTGGCCCAAGCTCAGGGACAGCGTTCATCCATTTCTGCTTCGTAGTCAGCCATGACTGCTGCCCCCATCTCTGATCTTTCCTGTGGCTTCTCTGCCCCTGCCCCTCCTGGTGCCCCTCCTTTGTATTCCCTGGCCTCTGCTCAGAAGTTAGGTGTATGTCCCTCCCCCAAAGCCTGCAGTCACTGAGCGGCATCCCTCTGTGCCCACTTGCAGGTGTCAGTGCTGACTGGCATCATCAAGATTAGCCTGAAGACGCTCCTGGAGTGTGTGCGGCTGCGGACCTTCGGGCGCTTTGGGCTGCAGCAGGTGCAGGTGGACTGCCACTTCCTGCAGCTCTACCTGTGGCGCTTTGTGGCCGACGAGGAGCTCGTGCACCTGCTGCTAGACGAAGTGGTAGCCTCGGCTGCCCTGCGCTGCCCAGACCCAGTGCCCATGGAACCCAGTGTCGTCGAGGTCATCTGTGAGCGCGGCTAGGCCCTGCCGAAGCCGCCACGGGGCAGCCCCATCGCCCTGTCCTGTCCTCACAGTGCCCCGTCCTCACCCCGCTGGCGGGTGTCTGGACCCGTTTAATAAACTTGTGTGGCCGCCTCCTCCCTCTTGCCTGAAGGGGCGGGACCTGCAAGGGGTGGGGTTCTGATGTCGGAGCTCGTGAGGCGACAGCGCGGCCCCGCCTCCCAGCGTTGATTGGCTGCTGTGCTGGGCCCAGGATGGGCAGGGGGCGCGTCCATTTAAAGATTGCTGGACAAGAGCAGCAGCTGTCTCACCTCAATGTCCACACAGAAGCTTAACCAGGCCATCAGGATGGGGCCGGATATGTTCCCATGATATTTTGTGAACCATCGCTCCCCGGCAAAGCAGCGATCATGACTTCTCGTGAGGCCTCCCAGGCCCCACTGGAATTCGGGGGGCCATTGGGTAAATGGGAAGATTGGGTGTGGAAGCTGGGCCGATGCTACTTACGGAAAAGCTAGAAGGCTTTTGGGAAATCTGGAGGCAGAAAGATCGGGGTGCGCGGGTGCCAGAGTGTCTGCAGGAGAGGATGGACGGATGCTGGCAGCTGTACACAGGGGGTTTCTGGAATGGGAGACAGAGTTGGAAGAGCAGGAGGATGGTCTTTGGGAGGACTAAGATGAAAATTAAGGTAGGAGTATGGCGCTGGGAACCTGCTAAGCAGGCAGGTGACCCATGGTGCCTGTGGACTTGGGAGAGCGGTCACGCGACACTGGCTCTCTCCCCAGGCGTCACAGCGATGATGGTCCTGCTGCCTGCCACCATGTTCCATCTGCTCCTGGCGGCCCGATCGGGCCCGGCGCGGCTCCTGGGCCCACCCGCTTACCTGCCGGGGCTGGAGGAGCTGTGGAGTCCATGGGCTCTGTCGCTATTGTTCATGTGGCTCGGCCTACAGGTGGCGCTCTACCTGCTGCCCGCGCGCAAGGTGTGCGCTCTGTTTTAACACTGGGGAGGAGGGGACAGAGAGGGCTCGACCAGGGGGAAGGCCTCCCCAACCCTTACAAGACCTTCCCTATACTCGTAGGTGGCCGAAGGGCTGGAACTAAAGGACAAGAGTCGCCTGCGCTACCCTATTAATGGTGCCTGGGGCTTCCCCTCCCCATCACTGAATCTGAGTTACATGGGTTGGGGTGGGTTCCAAGTCCAGCGGGAGTTGCGTGGACTAGTTCTGATGACACACTCCCCTATGGGAATCTGTGTGTGTGTGTGTGTGTGTGTGTGTGTGTGTGTGTGTGTGTGTGTGTGTGTGTGTGTGTGTGTGTGTGTGTGCGCGCGCGTGCGCGTGTGTAAGTATGCAACCCCCGGGCTTACCCTGTGCTGTGGTAGCTGTGGACAGATGCAATCCCTGAACTCACTCTGTGTG